CCCGCCTCTCTGAGCTGTCCATCCTCCAGGGCTCTGGGCATCCATGTCGTCTGTCCTCACTTCCGGCAGCCTCTGGATTTCCCCATTCCTGGGACTCTGGGAGCTGGTGGGTGGGAGGCACAAAGCCTTTGTTGGTATAGCTGCCCACAGGGAACCACACTGACCAGTCAGGTATGGGGGGGGTGGACACTGTGTCCAGGGTTCCCTGCCCATTCTGGCCTCTTGAGAGCATATTAGATGGTGTGGGCACCTTTGCTAGAGGGAAGTGTGTGGTTGTTACTTGTCACTGGTTATGTTTTCTTGTATCTTCAGAGCCAGGTAGTTCAGAGAAGTGCAGGCACCTGCCTGGTTCACCAGGGCCCAGACAGTCCCTGTTATCAGCACCCCATGGCTGAGTCCTGATGCTGCCTGGGAGCCAGTTCAAATGATCCCGAGGGCCCCCAGGCAGGTGAGCTAGGGATCCCCAGGGAGGGCCAGATCTAGGGGCTCAGAGGACAGGCTGAGCCTCCAGGGTCCCACCGTGGACAAGTAGGGGTGAGAATTGGAGAGGCCTGGCCTATTTTCCTGTCCCCACATGCTGGGGGATCTGTGTGGCCATGGTACCACAAGGCGGGTTTGAACATGCCGGTGTACAGCCTCCTCACAGGAGAGGTGCCTGCTGTCTGCTTTGATTTCCCCTGGGGATGGTCACTGTGGATACATCCTCCAAGCCAGCCTGCCAGCGCTGTCCACCACAGTACAGAATCCAGTGCAGATTTCTTTGAATTACCGGTGACTTCTCTCTCCTCCTTTGTAATTATATAGTAATTACCCTGGGTGGCAGGAGGAAGGTGAAGTTCTTAGTAATTGAATGGCGTGCATCTGCCCATCCCCGGCCCTGGGAAAGCCAGCACACCAGCATTAACTCCCGAATTAGGACAGACAGTAGCATGCCAGACAGATGTGGGGGTTTTTTTGTATTTATGAGTACTTGAAGGTGAGAGATGCCTGTCTTGAGATGCCCAGCCTATTGCTGGACATGTGTCCACACCCTCACACAGGACAGAGGCTGCACTGAGGGGCAGTTGACATTTTTCCCCTGTATGTGACTGTTACACATCCAGTGCCCATCAGGCTTAGTGGCCTTGCTCCTGATGAACCCAGGTCTTGTCTGTGTGGGCTGGGCATCAGCTGTGCCAGTCTGAGCTCTGGCCAGCCAGTCTCCCTGTATCACAGGTAGTCTTTGCTGAGAGCCTGTGTGGGCTGGGAGGGCCCCTATTCACTGTTGATCTCATAAATCTGTAGCTTATCATGGGGCCTGTGTGCTATGGCTTCTGTTAGGTGGCCGCAGCACCCCTTTTATAGATGGGCTGACCTGCTGGGTAGAGGACCCAGGGTCTGGCAGCCTCAATTTAGTGGCCCCAGGCTAGAAGATGTGAGTTGAAGCCATGTCCTGGGTTGCCCAGTAAGTTGGAAGGACACCGCCCCCATGTCCTGTTTCCTCTCTGTCCCTGCTTTGGGCTCCCAGGGGTGGGGCTAGCAGCAGCCCCTGAATGGGGATCTGCTTCCCAACTGCTCTGGCCTTACTGGGCTGGGGTTTGCCCCATCCTGGGCTCATCCTGAAGCAGAAGCTGGACTTGAAGATACGGTGTTAGAGGACCTCAGTGGGTCTCCACTTCTGAAATGCCGAAACGTATCTGGGTGACCTTCTTATCACCTGTGGAAATCTGCCTCTCTGGGTAGGGACACCCAATGGGGGCAGGAACCTCAGGCTCCCTTGACCATCCTGTGAGGATGCAGACCATCAGAACACTCTCATGTGCTTTCCCTTCTCTTTTCTGTGTCACCAAGATGGCTCCATCTTGGACAGCGAAGGGGGAACAGGACCCTGGCAGGCCCAGGATGCAGAGCCCAGGAGCCACAGCCTTCCCCAACCCCATGTTCATGTCCACTGCCCGACGGGGAGCCTGTGCCTCACAGTCACTGTTCCATGGGGTCCTCAGAGCCTGCCTGGGAAGCAGTGGAACCTTTACTAGTGGGTAACTGCAGGCAGGGCCACATTCCTGCCCCCAAGGAGAGGCCCTCTCCCAGAACAGGCCTCCACATTGCCCAGGGCTTTCTGCCCATACGCGTACCCCTTAGGATGGCTCAGCGCTACCGGGATGAGACAGATTGAGGTCACGGTGTTAAATAACAGATTCTCCCACAGTCCTTCTGGCATGGGTTGGGGTCCAGCCAAGAGCATGCAGCTCCACACTCAGGAGGCTATCCCCTCATAGGGTTGTGCAGGGCCTGTGGCTGCAGGGCAGTACCCAGGGACTAGAGATAGGAATCAGAACCTGACCCAGAAGCCTCCCCAGGTGGACAGGGAATGAAAGGTCATTTGCTGGTCTGGTTGTGCCTGATCCCTAGGTGTGTGGTGACCGCAGAGACCTACCAGAGATGCCATGCCTTGCTTGGACCCTTGGGGTGGGGTAAGGACTTAGCTTGGTTTTTGTATTTTAGTGTTTTGAAATACAAGTTCTCATGTAGCCTAGGCTGGCCTCCAATTGACTATGTATCGGAGGATGACCCAGAACTCCTCATCCTCCTGCTTCCAACTCCCAAGTGATGGATCAATGTCACTTGGTGATGTGCATGGCATGTGGAGGTCAGAGGACAACCTTGTGGAGTTGGTTCTTTTCTTCCTGTTATGTGGGCCTCAGGCTTGTGCAGTGAATGCTTTACCCACTGAGCCGTCCCGTCCCGCTAACCCTAAGTGTACCCATGTGTGCAGTGCCTGCAGAGGCCAGAAGAGGGTGTTGGAGACCCTGGAGTTAGGGTCATTTATGAGCCACCATGTAGGTGCTAGGAACCGAACCCAGGTCTTCTGCAAGAGCAGAGTGATCTGAACCATGAGCCATCTCTCCAAGCCTGCCTTGGGTTTTTTAATTTTTATTTATTTATTTATTGTCCTTTTCTGTGTGTGTCTCTTTGAGACAGGGTCTCCCTGTAGCCCCAGCTGTCCTGGAACTCACTATGTAGACCAGGCTGGCCTCGAACTCACAAAGATCTGCCTGCCTCTGCCTCCAGAGTGCTGGGATTAAAGGCGTGCACCACCATGCCCAGCTTTTTTTTCTTATGTGTAGGAGTATACTGCCTGCATGTATGTGAGTGCACCTGTGTTGTGCAATGCCATGGAGGTCAGAAGAGGGCATCAGAATGTCCTGGAACTGGAGTTAAGAACTGTTCTTAGCTACCATGTGGGTGATGGGAATCGAACTCAGGTCCTCTGCCAGAGCAGTCAGTGCTCTTAACTGCTCTTCAGCCCCTGCTTTGGGTTTTTGAGGCAGGGTCTCATGTATCCCAGGCTGGCTTGGAGCTCACCATATAGCTTAGGATAACTTTGAACTACCCCTTGGTTCCTGGGGTTCTGGGTTGTATGTGTTCCCCAAGGACCTCCTAAGATGGGACACCAAGCCTGAGAGGTCTTAGAGTTACAGTGAGAAAGATTGGGGGACCCCCAGAGCAAAGGGAGCTTTAGGTGTGTGTGCGCAGGTGTGGGAACAGTGCAGGGCAGACCGTGTTGGGACCTCGGGTTTGGGGCGCCCCAGGTGCTGAGGGCTCCTGCTTGGCTCCCATGTGGCTGAGCCCAGGGCTCTTGGGCCCCACAGGGCTGGCAGGTGGCTTGCCACCCTGGTGCCTTCCCTGTGCTCCACCTCACTGTCTGTGGCCTGCACTTTCTGTGGTGCTAGCCTCTGCCTTCCTAGGAGATCTAGGCCAAGCCTGGGTGGACAGGGTGGACTCTTCTCCTCCAGCGGTGAGCCTCTGCTCCTTCTGATGGCTTGGCATCTCTGTTCTCA